TGAAAGCGAATAGTGCAATTACAAGGACTAACGACAAATACTAATAGCTTTGGTAGAGAAGATCGGACAGATTTCGTCAAGGCAAGCTGGGCAGTCGCCTATTGCTCCTATTCCAGATAACCCACTGTACCCTGTCTGAAAGGAAGTAACGCTAGAGTAGACTCGCGAAAAGTGTGCAAGACACTTTTAAGATCAACTAAATTGCTAAGCCCAAGGGAAGTCGTTCGGGGAGGCCCTCCCTAGTTCCACAGGGGTGAGAAGAGAATAGAACACGATCATGAAACATTGAATCATGTAGAACAGGTAGGGTAAATGCGAAGCAATTTAGTAAGAATAAGCAGTAAGCTAAGAGAAGAGATGTAAGCAAGAGACATGTTGGACTATGCTACAACTACTACTAAACAAGTTAGTACTACTATTACTACATACAAAAAAAAAAATAAAAACATCTAAAATCAATAATTACTTCAAACAAAATGAACAAAAATAAGCATGCAAAATAAAAATTAATTTAAATAAAATGAACTACACAATAAAAAATGCATTCTAATAAAAAACGACTTGCAAGATAGAGACATGGGGTCTTCTTTGTCTTCTCCACTGTCGACCTGAAACAGATAGGATGGTAACAGAATAATAAAGAGCAACTAAAATTAATTATATTATGTATTCTCACCTTAATTAACTGTAGACTGTAACGTTTCCAAGTTTGCAGGTGTGAAAGCAAACTAAATCCAGGAGAAATACCACTGTAGAAAATTTGTTTCAGTGGAATTCAAATAAATCTCAAGCTGCTATCACTCGCCACTTGAAAATGAACTGCATAATGTTGTAAGGTGAAGACGAAAACAGCAAATCAAGAATATAGTTCGCAAAAGACCACACACATGTAGTCACTGGTTGTTTTAGTATGATCAAACTGAACTTTATTCTCTCTCATTTATTGGACAATCTGCACAAACGGACAACCAAATTAATTACAATATTAATTAAGGAAGGGGTTAGTAGACACACCTAAAAACACACACCAAAATGTAAATAAAACATGAAATAGATGGGTTATAAAATGGCGACAAGCGTCATTTTTACAACATAGATGACATAAATGTGAAATAGTTTATGCTGTAGGCAATAGATAATCGCTAAAAGAAATAATCATAGATGCAAGCCGTGTGAATCTGGCACCCGATATAATCAATTCACTGATTTACACTTTACCAATAAATTGTGCGTCGTTTGCGAGTTCTAAATATGTAAGTATCATAACAGTGCGTTTGTTCATTCTGTTACAAAAAGTGAAAATTGTTTCGAGTGCAGGTGGAAATTGAACATCAATTTATTCAAAAACTACTGAAGAGATGATAATTTAATTGATGGTATTTGATTGCGCGTCATTTGTGCTTAAACTGAACTAATATGGCAAACAGAATTTATATTATATTATTTATTAGTAATAGTTATACTACTTTTCAATTGCATTATTATGATCACNATTAATGTTTATAAATATTTAAATAAATTCTGCTTAGCATAATAACTGTTATAAGTACAAATAATGCGCAATCGTTTGACGTCAATTAAATTATGATAGCTTTAATAATTTTCGAATAAATGAACATTGAATTTCTCCCAAAGTAATTTTCCTTTTTTTCAATAAAACTACTTGATGCACAACTACAGTGTACATATTTAGAATCCGCAAATGATGTACAATTTATTGATAGACTTCAAATCAAGGGATTATCTATTTAATCTGATGCCAGATTCTTACGACACATAATTATCTATGGCCTTATATATGACCGTCTATGACAAGTTTATGATGTGTATCCATATTTGTATCTGAGTAATTTTATCAGTGTTGGTGTAATTTAGTTTATTGAGAAAACTAATTAATAATTAAACTTTGAAACAAAAATATCTGCTTAGTTGAAGGATATGGCGACGACAAAATTTTCTATTCTAGTAAGTGGTAATTTGTTTTATGTAATTAGTTTGATTGTTACATAATATGACCCCTTCATTTAAGATCCGATGCTTAAACACTTCAAGTATAACCACTCAAATGGTAAAACCACCAATTCAAGTATTCGGAACAGAGGGTCGGTATGCGACAGCTCTATACTCTGCAGCAACTAAAGAAAATAAGTTAGATAGTGTAGAAAAGGAACTGGTTATGTTTCAGACGACAATTCAGAAAGATGAGAAATTAAGAGAATTTGTTCTTAATCCAACTATTAAGCGTCAAACAAAGTCAGAAGCTATTAAAGCTATTGCCTCAAAATTATCTCTCTCATCACAATCATCAAATCTTTTGCAGCTGCTGGCTGAGAATGGTCGTCTTAAGAACTTTGATGCCATCATTAATTCTTTTAAAGTTATTATGGCAGCTCACAGGGGAGAGGTATTTTAAGGGTATGCACTCATTCTTACCATTAATTGGACTCTTTATTTATTAGGTAACATGTGAAGTTATCACAGCAAGGGAATTAGATGCCAGTCAAAAACAGCAGTTGGAACAAGTGTTAAAGTCCTTTTTAAAACAGAAAGAATCATTAGTGCTGTCCACTAAAGTGGATCAATCCATCGTAGGGGGTATGATTGTCAGTATAGGTGATAAGTATGTTGATATGAGTGTTGCTAGCAAAATCAAGAAATACACTGATATAATCAAAGCTGCTGTTTAAGAATGAAAAGCATTTTTGTTGACCTATTATTAGAAAAAATTGTGTAGAAATAGAATTAAAATAATTACTACCCTTATTATTTAAATGCAATTGTATGTAAAGAGGCCTGGCCTCTAAACAGTATACAGAATGAATAAGTAAAAAATATATAATACTTTGACAAAGTTGTTTTATTATCTATATAATGTAAATTCATAATGAAACCACTGTCACATAATATTTATTATTAAATATTTACGCGGTGACTTTATATGCAATTAAAGTGTGAATTATTATTTAGTAGGTTCAATAGTTTGACCTCCGCGAATTTGTCCCCAGCCGATCAGACGCCAATGTTTTTCGACTCGTCTACTTAATGCAATTTTTTCGTCAATTTCAGTGCAAACAGGATTGGTGAGGGCTATTTTCACTAAATCGGCCTTTGTAGCAAGGACTCTTCCCCCCGTACTTAAAGATCCGATGTTGACGAGCAAAACTTCGTTTTTGGTCAATTTTTGCACTTTGGCCGCCTTTTTATCCCCCTCTGTACGTACTCCCAATAATCTTTTCAAGAGATAGTAGCTCACCTAAAATTACGGTAATAACAATAGCGAATATCCAGCTGAAGTTTTTCTAAAATTTTATACCTCAAGTTCAATAAAAATGCTAGGCAAAGCTCCAACGGCTCCTAACACTTGCCCAACGAGTCTATCGGCCCTACAAAGAGTCGGTTCGATTTTAGTACCTACGCCAATTAAACCTCCAGGAACAGCGAACTGCAACTCGTTCTGTTCCGTATATAAAGAAACTATTCGAGAAAAAATCGGACGACAAGTTAGTCTTCCATCAGAGTCCTTGCTTACAAGTCCTGGCCTCACCTATATACATATAACATGTATGCCGTCTATAATTTGGGTGAAAATGGAGAAAATAAATACCTCAATTTCCTGTCCGACTCGTAAGACCCCTCGAAGAATACTTCCGCCGGCGACACCACCCTTCAAATCATCCACCTCGCAACCGGGCTTGTTAACATCGAATGATCGTATAACTATAAGTCGAGGTTCAGACGTAAAGTCGCGAACGGGAATGGGAATTTTTTTGCAAATATATTCACAAAGCACCTTTTTTCAAAAAAAAGAAAAGTGATCAAATCATATAGCAGGGATAGTACATATTAACATTTACCTCGATGTTGTACTTAAGTTGGGCAGAAATAGGAATGACAGGAGCTCCCTCTGCTACGGTACCTTGTACGAACTTGACGATTTGCTCGTGTTGTTCCTTTGCCTGTCCTTCTTTCACCAAGTCTATTTTATTTTGTAAAATGAGGATATTTTTCAATTTCATGATTTCTATAGCGGCCAAATGTTCACTCGTTTGTGGTTGAGGGCAAGACTCGTTACCTAAGGAATAAAAAAGGCACGTTGAACATAAACAGGGAGAATAATTAATATGTTTATTACCAGCTATTAAAAGCAGAGCGGCATCCATCACAGCAGCTCCGTTAAGCATCGTTGCCATAAGTATGTCGTGACCGGGGCAATCAACGAAACTGACATGTCTGATCAACTGCATTCTACCAGCACAAGTAGGGCGAGTACAGGGAAACGAGTCGTCTTTGGACGAACCGCCCGACATGTAACATGTTGGCCGGGGACATTTTGGGTGATCACATTTATAGATCTTGGCGTTAGCGTACCCTTTTAATAACAATTAAACATAAAAGTACAGGATAAATAAAAATCTTATCCAAGTCTCACCCTACTCTTCCTACACCGCCAATACAAACATCTGTTACTTAATAAAGATAAAAATATTGAAATAAGTACTTCGAATTTCCAAATTCCTTATGAGTCATTAAATTAATTAAAAACTACATTAAGAATAAGAGGATGCTTTTTAACACACCGTTCTGTAATTATTCTAAAAACTTATCCTAACGATTTTACATACTATGTTTATGTAATAGATTATAAAAGATACAGGTATACTACGTTTGAATGTGGCGTCAAAAAATGTACTTTCGACAATTATTGGCACCACATTTGCACACAGATCGATGCTTCTTTTTCTCATTTTTTGGTAGCTCGAGGCGTTTCATACTTTTATCATTGGACATGTAGTCGAAAGTCAGTTCTTCACCCTTTGCTATTTCTCTAGTCGCGAAAAGAGCTAACTTCGGAATGTTTGGGTCGAGACAATTGACCCAGACTGCCCACACTGACAAATTAGGATCGCAGGAATGATTTATAAAATGGGAAACGTTACCAAAACGTGCAGCATCCACAGTGTACGGGTTATCGTTTGAATTAAAATCCAAATCGAAAAGATAGGTGCGTCCTTGCGAATCGTACAGAGCACCGCGCCTCTCGGCTTCCTCATGACTAATTATTTCACCAACATACTCACATACATACTCGCCAGTGTATATTCTTCGTAGACATTTAACGCCCCAGCCACAACCGTTGCTTGTACGATAAATACATAGAGGAACGTTACGCCCTCTTTGTACCACTCTGTTGCGACAATCATGACCGCATTTGCAACTTTTGTTGCACTCATATATGGGCGTACCTTTTGGAAGATTGATTCTTCCTTTGGAATTGTAAGGGAAACGGTACGTTTGTTGCTGAAACATTCCGCAACAATGTTTCTCTTTATTTGAACATTTCGAACATCCACAACCGATAGGAGGATTATCGGGGATTACGATACCGTCGGTGGGCCGATAGTTATTGATGTAAACGAAGTCTATGGGGGGGCCTTCCAGGTCTACGTTATTTTCTACCTTAATAACTGCATTCTCACAAGCCACTTTGTTCATTTCTTGTTCCCAAATCGCCAGACGGTTGAGCTGTATTTCACGTTTCAAATGCAAAAAATAAATTAGAAGTGCTTCCTTGCCTCTTTTCAGTTTTTTTGTATGTTTTTCTTTTGGACAAGCAGATAGCACTGTCAAAAGCTCTCTTTGAATGCTAAGTTTTTTTGGTAGGGCAGAAAATCCTTCCGATGGAATAAGGCTTTCAAGGATTTTTTCGGGAAAATTATTGGACACCTTAAGCATTTTACATAAGCTCTTCAATGCTTGATTACCCAGCATATCTGTGATAAAATTTCCCAGAACTGATGGACAGCGTTCCAGATGATGTAATGGCTCCCAGGTGTTGTTCTTCTCAGACCACCCTTTCCATTTGACAAGAAACATGTGAGTCCCATTTTCATATTTATGAGCTAATATTTGTTCCACTATATACTCTTTTGAGTAAATCTCTTGATCAATTGCTTGATGTTTCCTTTTAACTTTCACTTTTGTTTTTGGTTCAGTAAAGTGGTTCTTCTTTGAAGGAATTGTTTTGTCCTTTTCATTAATCTTCCTCTTCAGAATCCCTTCTGGTATTATTGGCTTCCCGTTCACATCAAATTGCAGTTTTTCTGTAAGGTTTGTTTTACGAATTATTAAAATATAATAATTAATGAAATAACAAGTTTTGTAAAACATTAACCAAAATTACTATTTGATGTGAACGGGTTACATTTTTGAAAATCAATAAGAAACAACTCTATTAGAATTTAACAGTAGACAGACACATTAGAATTTAAAAAAATTAAAACAAATGGTAATAACTAGTAGAAAATCAGAAATTATACTATATATTTAAACAACATACCTAATTTTATAGTAATGTTACGTTCCAATTCATTTTTAAATCTAACTGTTTGAACACCGGATATAGCTTTAACCACAGTTGATTTCCCATGAGCTACATGACCAATTGTTCCGATATTTATTGTAGCTTGTCTACTAATAACTTCCGGCGATAGTGCTGTAAGTTTTGTTACATCCTAAAATTAACAGTATAAGAAAATGTCGAAGTTCAAAATATACCATACCAAATTCGAGGTTACGTTAAAATTTCAGGAACAAATTCAGATATTAAATTTACAAAAAAAAAACAGTTTTCATAAAACTTACAAGTTTAGATAGGTCCTGTTTGTGTAAATTTGGTTGACCGGTTGTAACACCAATTCCTTCGGATGATGCCATGATTCAATGCTGTTTAATAAAGACCACTTTAACGTAAAGTAACCAGACGAAGCAAATACGAACCAGATTCCGATATATAATTCACCAACAGCTTGCAATATCTCTATGAGCTCGTCTTCGATGAGTACCAGATTTTTGATGCTGATTGGTGCTCTACCATATTTGGAACTAACTTCATACGTATGTAAAACGTCATTGGCGTAACAAGAAGAAATAAAAGTAGGATTAGAATTAATTTGACTTTGGATGATCTGCAGGGCACTGATTGAAAGTAATCACATAATTATAGTATAAAGTAAAAATAAAAGGAGGATGAAACTATTCAGTTTTATGGAAATTTCTTACTGCTGGTGATCATAAACGTTGGAGTGCACATGACAAGATCAGTGACTTCCTATTGTCTATGGTCTATGCTATTAAATTAACCTATGAAATTAGCAATTGTTAATATCCATATGATGTCCGTACATTCATATAGTGTTACCGATAGATAACGGCTTTTGTTTTTCAAAAACGGCTTGGTATTAATTAGTCAATTTATTTGTAAAAAATTTGTATCAGTGTCATAAGAAGTAATTTCCAAATTCTCTAACTTTGTATCAATTTTCTTTCTTCATTACTAGATATTTCGTTTCATTGTATTCACTAACACAAAAGATTTTACCGGTAGGTAAGTGCTTGTAATAAATATTAACTACTGATTATCATTTAGTTGATTATATAATTATTAATTGTAGTTCTACATGAATTATCAACATTTCAGACTGCAGATAGATATATATATATAATAGAAGTGTAGACATCTTTACAGTGTCGTGATTGGTATAGTAAATTATTTTTATAGCAGCTTAACATGTCTTCAAATCCTGCATACAGGGTAATTTTAATTTTTTTTACATTATCTCACCCATTTGCACTTGTTTTTTTTTGCTTAGCCGTCCGAAGGAAAACGTGAAGAGTTTAGGAAATACTTAGAGAAAACAGGTGTCATAGAGGCCCTTACTAGGGTTCTAGTTTGTCTTTATGAAGAGGTTGATAAACCTGAAGACGCGTTACAGTATCCTTAATTAAACATTGTGCAAATGTTTTGAAAATTTGTATGAGGCCATTTTTCTTAGCATATGCTTAGTTTTATTCGAAACAAGTTAGCTTCTTTGGCCAGTCTTGATACACCAGATGAACTGCAGGAAAAACTAGAGAGTGCAAATTGTAGAATTCAAGAACTGGAGGAGCAGTTAGCTGCAATGGAAAACAGAGGTGAGGAGCATGAAGGTGAAACTGAAACATCTCCTCCAGCACCAGAGGGAGAAGTGCCTCCTGCTGAAGCTGAAGCTTAAAAATGATGCTATCTTTTGTTTTTACAATTCCTTCTTTCTCAACTGAGGCACTTAATGTTGTACCTACTAACTTAAGTTACTTATATTGGCAGAGTTAAAAGTTAATTTTGTCCAAGTGACACATGAAGTTCCTTAATAAGAGGTTAATCTGTTGTAAGGCAATTTTACTTATGTTTTCTTTTTGCTTTCATTAAATGTTTGTATTTGTTCATAGTGAAGTTTATTTTTTCATAGAATAGTCATTTATTTCTGTTTTTCTTTATTCTTGATAAAAGTGGAACAATCTGCAATTTTTGAAGTAATGGATTACAATATGTTTATAATAAAGTGTGAAATAAACCTTTGGTTGTGTTTTGGAGCATTTATGTTTATTTAATAGATGAAATTTTGATGAGCAAAAATTGTGATTGATGAGTAAACGCATTAATAATTTAGCAAAGCACCTTCACCATTAATAAACCTTAAATTTAACTGATTATTAGTGGTAAACATTGTTAAGACAAATGCATAGAAGTTATTGGAAATCTATACAGCACACTTTTACAAAACATTAAATCAAAAAAACCCATATACACTGTTTATTCTTATTTTTCACCCTTGTCTTTAGCTGCTTGGCGCCTTTTAACGTCCCAATTGAACACTCTTGCCATATTAACTTCAGTTGTTGTAAATTGATCACTGAAACATTAAATGTTATTAGTTATTGAAAGAATTATTTAAACAATTTTATCTTTTACCGAAGAAAATCCAAGTCATATTCAACCTGTTTCAAATTTTTTGTTGCAGCTGCAATATTATCTGTCAAAAGTTTCTCAGCATCATCTAGTGAATATTCTAACATTACATTAGCACCCAGCCAAAGACACACAGTATTGGTAGGTGGAACTACAGCCTTGGCAAAAACTTGTTCACTTAGTAAGAACTCTGTTTCAAATTCGTCTTTCTCTATTCTTAACCTTTCGATCATACTAAGAGACCTTTTTAAGTCAGGAATTTGTGAACGTAATCTTTTCCTTTTTGATAAAAGATTGAATTCCATAAACTTATATTTACAATGTTGTTCATCTAACTTTTTGAGAGCCTTGTCCACAACTCCAGCAAATTCAGGTTTTGCCATATATGCGTCCACATCGTCCTGAAATTTTAAAAATAGAAGTTACGTTACCTTTCGCTATTTAACTAATTTTTTCTTTAAATACTCACTACAAATTCAGCTTGTGGTATGCCCGCATATGATTTTTCTTCGATTGAATTTTCCCTGTCTTCGGACATAATTATAAATTATAAATTATATTGGTGAACAACTTCAACGGCGTAAACTATCCTCCATAGACTATCCCCTAATGACTGCCTGACCATAGAAAATAGTGCCTGACGGCAAAAAGATATCAACAAAATAGATGACAATCTATGAATGATGTATTATTTATGATCATAGTCTATGGTGACAATTGTTAAATTTATCAAACATTGTTTAAATTTAAAATATGCCTTTCTTATATATTTTACATGAATGGCATGGATAGCAGATATCAAAAAAAATACAGGAAATACCACTGCATTTGAAGTATTAGATTCTCAAATCTTACATTTATAGAGTGTTTGATTTTTAATTTAACTGTTTTCTATGTAGTTTAACCACTATGTTCTAACGGTTCTGCGACATTTATTGTTTATGACTATAAGGGACTATGATCATAAGATGTACAGAATCTATGGGTTTACACTTTCTGCATGTCCGTTTCGTATTCTATGATTCTATTCAATTATCATTTCAATGATTTCAATTATTAATAAATCGGATAACAGATAAGTGATTTGTAATTTGTAAATAAAGTTAATTTGCCATTTCTATTTGAAATGTTTATTACTAGGACAGACGTTTGTTGTTAAATTGGGTTACTGCATTTTTCATTCAAAAATAATGTTAAGGGTATGCGTAATAATTTGGTAGTTTCCATTTTATTTTATTTTATTTTTCTGTAGGAAAAAGGCCAAGTGAAGTTTGAAGACAAATGGCCCCTTATGCGTCCTACTGTTTTAAAATTACTAAAGCAGGAAGCAGTTAGTCAAGCAGAATGGCAAGATTTATTTTACAGTGTTCACTTGGTGTGTTTGTGGGATGACAAAGGCGCAGGAAAAATAAGAGATCATTTACATGATGATATAGTGGAGTTTATTAAACAAGCACAAGCGCGAGTTCTTGCTCAAAGAGAAGAACAAGCATTGCTGAAAGTATATATTGCAGAATGGAGAAAGTTTTTTACACAATGCAATTATCTACCTACTCCATTTAAACTTCTCGAACAAACATTACAAGGTAAAACATCAGGTGCAACCACAATGCAAGGTACAACTACAAAAAAGAATCAAGATGATGAGAGTTTAGTTAAGAAATTAATGCTAGATTCATGGAATGAAAGCATTTTTTCTGATATTAAATACCGTCTCCAAAACAGTGCTATGAAGTTAGTGCAAGCAGAGAGGAACGGTGAAGCCTTTGATTCTCAATTAGTTATAGGTAAATGGTATATGCATACATTTTTAATGTTATAATAAATAGTTTCATGATGATTGTTTATATTTACATCTAGGTGTTAGAGAATCTTATGTAAATTTGTGTTCAAATGCAGAAGATAGAATGCAAATTTACAGGGAAAATTTTGAAGCAGCCTATATACAGAGCACAGAAACCTTTTACAAGATGAAAGCACCTGAGCAACTAAAGGCTAACGGTGTTCAAGCATACATGCGTTATGCTGATGGTAAATTACGTGAAGAAGAGGCTAGAGCATTGAGATATTTAGAAGCTGGTAGTAATGGAGTCATGCAGTGTTGTGTTAAAGTGCTGGTAGACAATGCACGACCAGAAATTCTGGCTGAATGTGCACCTTTAATAAAAGAAGGAGGATCTGAAAGATTACAGCTCATGTTCAGACTGCTGGAGAGAGTCAAAGATGGCATTAAACCAATGCTACAGGAGCTAGAAAACCATATAGTTTCTGCTGGAAGAGCTGATATGATTGCAGCTGCAGATATTATTACTCAGGTGAAAAATAATGCTTTATATAATGTTATTACGTCGACTAATTATTAGTTATTATCTAATAATAGGATTCAGAAAAGTATGTGGAGAAACTTCTAGAACTTTTCCGAAAATTTAGCGCGTTAGTACACGATGCTTTCTCTGACGATCCGCGCTTCTTGACCGCTCGTGACAAAGCATTCGAGGCGGTCGTCAATGACACGACAGTATTTAGGTTGGAACTAAACTCAAATAAGAACGCCAGCAACAAATCGATTGTTCCAGAAAGTAAATGCCCAGAACTTTTGGCGAATTATTGTGATATGCTTCTACGACGGACGCCGCTCTCAAAGAGACTCACTAGCGATCAAATCGAGCAACGACTTCGTGACGTCCTCTTAGTACTGAAATATGTTTCAAACAAGGACGTTTTCATGCGATACCATAAGGCTCACTTAACTCGAAGGTTAATTTTGGATGCAAGGTAAAGAAAAAATCGTTTTCTTCCTTTGTCAGCTCTATTTATATAAACGGCGTAAAGTATATTGTATATGTGTGTGTTTCAAAAGTGCCGACAGCGAAAAGGAGGAGGATATGGTAGAATGGTTGAGAGAGGTCGGAATGCCAGCTGATTATGTTAACAAACTTGCTAGAATGTTCCAGGATATAAAAGTGAGCGAAGACTTAAACGCTCAGTTCCGAACGTCAACCGCTCGACACGACGCCATTAACATTAAAATACTCAATGCAGGGGCATGGGCTCGGGGCTCGGAACGTGTTACCGTCAGTTTACCAGTTGAACTGGAAGACTACATTCCTGAAGTGGAAGAATTTTACAAAAAGAAACATTCAGGCAGAAAGTTGCAATGGTAATTAATATTAATTTAATTTTACCGTTTTAGTTTCACTGTTTTTGCAGGTATCATCATATGAGCAATGGAACGATCACGTTCGCGAACAACGTAGGAAGATTCGATTTGGATGTGACGACATTTCAAATGGCGGTGCTTTTCGCATGGAATCAGCGACCCCATGAGAAAATCTCGTACGAAAATTTACGTTTAGCTACAGAATTACCGGATGCTGAGTTACGACGGACGTTGTGGTCGTTGGTAGCATTTCCTAAATTAAAAAGGCAGTTGTTATTGTTATTTCCAGGGTCCGCAGCTCCCAAGGATTTCACTGAAAATACCGTTTTCTGGATTAATCAGGAGTTTGCATTGATCAAAAATGGCAAACCTCAAAGACGAGGAAAGGTATATTACGAAAAAAAAAAAATCTTCAGTCGTGTTCTGAAAAACAAAACTCGTTAATCATGTACCTTTTTTTTTTCTTTTCTTAGATAAATTTAATTGGTAGGCTTCAATTATCTACTGAAAGGTCACAGATGGAAGATAACCAGTCGATTGTGCAGCTTCGTATCCTGCGTACTCAAGAAGCGATAATAAAAATCCTAAAGATGCGTAAGAAAATTTCCAACACAGCTCTTCAGGGGGAGCTCGTGGATATTTTAAAGAATATGTTTCTACCGTCGAAGAAGATGATCAAAGAGCAATTGGAGTGGCTCATCGAGCAGAAGTATATGCGTCGTGATGACGACGACATCAACACGTTCATTTATATAGCATAATAGTATAGAAAGGAAGACAAGAAATTGTGTAGACACTCACAAAAAGGCCTTAAAACTGAACTCTAGGTTACTTATAATAAAGGCAGTTTATTTTATTATAAGAGTTATATCTGGTACAGGTAGCCATAAATAATTAATTTCTCTTTTTATTTCTCATTTACAAACTGAATTTGTTGTCTTTAAGTAATAATACTTTACAATTTAAAATATAGATCGCGCGTTGAGATGGGGAAGAAAAACTTTTGTGATAACTTGTGCGTAATGTCTACATTTTTAATTTAAGCAAAACCTTTGTGATGATGATAATAATTCGTTTGCATATGTAAATAAATTTTTCTTTATATTTATTTAACCGGTATTTATACTTTTTGCGTGTGTGTGTATATAGATATACGCATATACGCACACCGTTTTATTGATGTAACAGAATTCTGTTGCAGCTATATTCCAATAAAAATTTCAAGTACAACGAAAAACATATGCTACCTGATCAAGAAAATATGTTCAAAATTAATACCAAACTAGTATATTTAATATTTTAATACAAAAGTGTATCAGGTATAAACAGTTTACATAATAATAATTAATAATATATTGACAATACAAAAGAGTTCATGGCTAATACTGCATGATATGCAGCCATACGGAAGGCCTCGTTAAAGTCTCCAAAATTCCCCGTTTTCAAAAAGAAAGTCGCTGAGCAACAGCTAGTAGTTCATGCAATGCTCAAAAACCTCCATCATTTACAAGTACGATTAGAAAAAGTTAAAGCGCAATATAATTTATATTACTTACAATAAGCCTTTAACAAAAGCAATAAAATACTCCTTTCCTTACAGATCCAGTAGTCGTCGAAATAATTTACTAAGTGTTCGTAAGGCAAACGGGACAAATATGCGACGCAAAAGGCGCTTCGCTTCATTCTTTAAATTGCTACATAGGAACGTACGTATTTTATTAATTTAAAAAAATCATTAATATATATAACGAAGTCTTTAAGATTTTTAGAACATAATGAAAACATTTTTATCTATTGAGCAACCTATTACAGCGTATTTTTTACTCTTACGTAAATATTTCTATGAAGACACGTTATGCAGTTATTGTCAGTTTATTTCAAGCACAAAACACTTTAATTTTTATCCTAATAATTGACCGTACTGTATGCCGGATGTAGTATGTGATTGAGAGTACGTTCTCTAAAATGAAAACTTAAGCGTGTAAAATTACCCAGAGGACGAAAAACGTTTAAGTGTAAACGGAAGTATTGTAACATTGAATTTTTTTAAACGTCTGAAATGTTAATTAAATTAAAATCACCCTGGCCTTGAAACTGCAGGATTAAATTAATTGGCACAAGTTTTCGTATCGAATTCCATGTTCTCAGTTATTAACATTAAAAGAATTTCCTCTGCATGGCTCATTTTCACCACACACATACTTGGTCACATTACAAATAAATAAAATCATTTGCAGACTTATCGAGAGACTATCTAGAACAATAGCCATCATAGAAATAGAGAGGGAATCAATTCCGAGCGTAATTGGTAGAAGAAAATAATGGAATAAATATTTACATTACCAACACGACAAAAGGTAACGGAAAAAAAATATTTAAAGAGAATTCCATATATCTAGTCTCGCAAAAAAATAATGTGCCTATGTATATATAAAAAAATCTTTAAAACCGATTGTTGGAATGGACGATAAAATTGTTACGAAACAGATAGTTATAACTACATTCATACATGTATATTATATATGAAAGTAAGTAAATGTCCGTCAGACTCATATTGCGTACGAGTACGTACGGAAGGGAAGGCCCAAACGAAGAGGCAAAAATCAACAGTCCAATTAATTTTGTATTTCACATTCTTACGTCGTGGCCACCTCGTTCGAAACGTTTCCTTTTATCCCTAATGCCTACACATGCTTCAGGATAAAAACGAAAAATAAAATATATGTTCTGTAAGGGCTTCTTTCAGTTAAAAACAATTGTATGAAAGAGGTCAAGAACACAACATGCGAACACAAACAATTACTTTTCAAAAAATAACAAGAACGACGAAATTTCGGGAAAGAAAATATACGTATATATAACTACTTATAATATATATATAGGAATC